CTTATTATAACCAGAGCTGAGACGACAAAGTTATAGAAACCGATCCGAAACCATCTCTTCTCGTTATTAATTATATGCTATTTTTTTGTTAATCAATAAAATAAACAATTAAACCATTTATAGTATTTAAAAATATATATTCTATAACAGAATATATATAATATTAGACATTAACAGAAAATATTGTTTATTTATTATAGATTTATGATTTTGACTAAAGATTGGACGCAAGGGTACAGTATTTAGTTTTACGCAACCATTTAAAAAATTAATTTAAGTAAAATAAGAGATAATTTGCATATAAATGTAATAAAATGAATGATATAATCATATAATCATATGAATGGTTATGAATACTGACGGATGAGTTGATGGTATGAGAGGGAGGGTTGAAGTGAACAGTGGGTCGACCGCTGTCTTCGTCCACTCGAGACATCGAAAGGATTGCGATATTGTTTTGGTATATGTTTTCATTTGATTGCAATTCCATTCCAACACTTATGAACTATTTTAGTCATAAAAATCACAATTTATTTTTTAATCAACTTTTTTTTAATGACATTCACAGCAAATTGAGTTCACATTTGAAGTTAAGTAAGTAAATGATGTGAAATGCAAAACAAGATTTTAATTTCACACAAATTAATCAACTTTTCCCAACTTGTCTTTAATATTATTTATTCAAAATTGGTTTTAGTTTTCACTTTTCTTATGACACTATTAATATAATAATAAGTTTATATTGAAGAACACTTTGAAATCAACACCAAATTTAAAATGATATATAAACTGATATATAAAATACCAATAGTAATATCATATACTATATCACTACATTACACGTTATCATTTGAAACATTAAACTTCGATTTAAAATCACAAATAGGATAAGATATACGAAAATTTCCTCACATTTGAAACATTATTTTAGGAAAATTATTTCTAACAGTAATAACAAACTGAATGATAAAATGAAAAAATTGTGAAAATTTGAGGGAATTTTCTAATACTTGGAACTGAATGTTGAGAACACTTTTCACAATAGTATTGTCTGAACTAAACACAAGTAAACGGTATAATAAATATAATTAACAGTACAGAAAAATAATAAAATTTTAGTAACATGAGTTTTAATGTGTGATTAATATTCGGCTCATAATTAGAGCGACTTTTAAAGGAGAAATGTGTTTATAATTTTAAACTACAGACAAACTTCACTTTAGAAACTTAATTGAAACCTCATGACTTAAACACGCTGGATACTAGTTTTAAGCAAACATAAAAAACTTAATTAAAAATAGTATATTATATAAAATAACTAATATTGACAAAAAAAACTTATTTGCTTTGTGTGATCGCAGTATATCTAGAGACAAATTTGAACAATTTCTATAAATTGATGGCATTAGCTGTCGGCGGTATTGACTGTATTGATTGGTTTAATGGTTGCAAGTGGTTATGAGGGCACACCTGTAGATTAACTGTACTGTTATCCTATAATAATGAGGGAATTTGTTATATTATGTCAAACATCAGATGTGACTCCGATTTTTCAATGCTTATACACAATAGTATATTGTTATTTGTGTTCAATACAAGTATATAGTTGACTTTCACTTTTATTTTTAGTCTATTTATTTTAAATTCAATGTTCACTTGTTCAGTTTGGAGTCTGAAGCCAAAAATATTAAAATGTTTTTATAACAATTACCGACAATTTTGACATTTAGTTTTGTTTATTATAAAATAGTGCACAACTTTTGCATTAAATAAACCTGTATAGTATATAATATTTATTTTGCTCATTTCAAATAAAAATAAAAATATTGATATTATAAAATGCTTGTTACATAACAATTAATATAATATCAATTGTATATACAGAGTATTGTATATTTAAAAGTGAAAATTATTGTTATAATATAGTGTAGAATTTGTGTCAAATTTATATCTATCATAAAGAGCTTAATAGTATTCATGTTATATTTAAAGTGAAATTAATTTGTTGAGAGATATCAATTGAAATCACACTTAATTTGAAATTAAAACACATTTACAATATTTAGGTCAGAGTTTGAAGTTTGTGTCAATTAAATCACGCATTTCTCGAGACTTTTGTAAATATTTTGTTCATTAGGAAATAAAAGGATAGTTTGGGAAATAGAGTCTGTTATCAGTGAAACACAAAACGTTAGTCCAAAGCAATGCCCGATTGAGGTCAGGGGGTATTCTTCGCTCATTTCCCTTACATTCACATAATTTAATGCTTTTTAATAAATTATTGTAAAATTTATCAAATAACATTTTTACAAATAATTTTTACCATATATTTCATACAAAATTTTATAATTTTATTTTTATTCATTTGAAGTCATATAAAAAAGTTGTATTCAATTTATAATACTGTACAGTACTATAATACACAGAACTTATAAAATATTAAATATGTGACAGTTTCTAATACTTTATGACAGTTTCAATATACAATTAATCTTTATGTTATTTAGTAAATAAAAACAACAATTATTTTTGATAAATATTTGGGAAAATATGATGTTTGAACCAAATATTTTATTATATTAACACATTAAACAAATAATTCAATTTTAACTATACTAATGAATTCCGAAATCAATATTGTTATTGACATTTGGGAACATTTAGAAAATTATTACATCAGATAAATGCAGAACCGGAAGAATAAGCAATTTTATTATAAATCAATGTTTCGCTTAATATTTAAAAAAAAAATTATTTAAATAATGAATTTTCATATATTCATCACTAGAGAAACTATCAAAAAATTATTAAATATTATTTATTCAGTAATTAAAACCAGAAGATTTGTTTCAAAAAGTAAGCATTTTTTCGATTCATTTCCTTTTATGCAAACTATTGAACTAATTATTTGATTTATGATACAAACAACCGAAAGATTCAGATAAACAAAAGCAAACATGTTATTTTCAAATTAGTTTTATCACTATTTCAGTTCATTAAACAATAGTTGGGATTAATTTCATTTAAAAACACAATTATATTAAATTGAATTAAATTGGCCACTCTATAGTAATTAAAATTGTGATCAAAAATAGAAATCTAAAATATTTGTAAATTTTATCCAAACCACATTATGTATATGACCTTAATATAAGCAGAATTATGTCATAACACAAGTAAACCTTGAAGTAACTATCATACCTTCTCTCTCTCTCTCTCTCTCTCTCTTCTCTCTCTCTCTCTCTCTCTCTCTCTCTCTCTCTCTTCTCTCTTCTCTCTCTCTTCTCTCTCTCTTTCTTTCTCTCTCTCTCTCTCTCTCTCCACTTTCCTCGTAAAACAACTTTTCATTTCTCCATTCTTATGAAAAAACTTAAATTTTATTCATTTAATTCAATGTTTGTTTCATTCAAATCATACGGCTATTAGCGAACTCAATGCTAAATGTATTATTCTTGAGAGCCTAAGACTAAACTTAGTCTCAGTGCTGTACAATACTTACAACAAAATGTTTAAGTGATGCATAATTGAATGCTTAATATAGCAATCAATTATTTTCCTTGTATTGTATTTAACAATACATTTGTCGTTGTATTTAACAAACAAATACTTTTTTGTAATAATAGTCATTATAATGTAGTGAATTATTTGATTAAACAAATTGATCAAAATGAATAAAAGTGTTATATTAATTTATTTTTATATAATTTTAAGAGGTAAGCATTAAATCAATACAATTTCAATTCATTTAAATGTCTAGCCGTTCAATGTAATAAAAATAACTGTAAATATTGTGTCTCAGGAGTTTCACATATATTTAATATAATTTAAATTTATTTAAAATACTTATTTTTATATAAATAAAATCTTCATTTTAATAAATATAATGTCATTAATACACTATTTAATAAACATTATAATTTACTGTAATGCGTATATGTTTGTGTTCATGATGGACTTAAAATTAACATAAAACTAAAAATGTACATTATAATGTAGTGAATTATTTGATTAAACAAATTGATCAAAATGAATAAAAGTGTTATATTAATTTATTTTTATATAATTTTAAGAGGTAAGCATTAAATCAATACAATTTCAATTCATTTAAATGTGTATGTTCAATGTAATAAAAATAACTGTAAATATTGTGTCTCAGGAGTTTTACATATATTTAATATAATTTATAAAATCTTCATTTTAATAAATATAATGTCATTAATACACTATTTAATAAACATTATAATTTACTGTAATGCGTATATGTTTGTGTTCATGATGGACTTAAAATTAACATAAAACTAAAAATGTACTTATAAATAATTTTTACAATTTTAACATATTAACATAATAACACAATATATTATATTTATTTAATGTATTGACTAAACTTGGAATAATTGTTTGCATTAGTTTATTGTGAAAAATCTACCGATTTGTCGGAAACCCCTCAAGAAGAGATTCATGTGATTGCAAGTGATAGTGCCTTCATTGACTGTGTGGTCAGGAATGGTAGTTCTCATACAGTTTTGTGGAAATATTATGAAAATAGTAAAAGTAAAGCGAAACTCTTATCCGCCAATAATGTGATAATAAGTGAAGACAAGAGATATTCGGTTATCCATAACGAAGGTATCATTAAATTCAAAGTATTATATAAAAGTTTGCGCTAAATATTAATTTTTAATTATCAATCCATAGCAAAGGATCGATGGGTTCTTAAGATAAGTACCACTACACTAAATGACACGGGTCTTTATAGTTGTGAAGTGAATTCAGTGCCAAAGCAAACAGTGACTCGCGTTTTGACAGTCAATTATCCGAAAACATTACAAAATGCTTTGACAAACAATTCGCGTTTAATTTCCGATGATTTCAATCATGATTTCAGTGAATGTTGTGCTAAAGAAGGCGTTCCATCGGTTTGTAATGGATTTTGCAATTTTAAAGGATTACTCACACAAACACCGAAAGCCCATATATTTGCCATTTGTTACAATCATATGTCACAACTCATCAAATGTCTGACCGATGGTCGCAATCACATCCCATGCTGTGAGCGCCAGAATATTCCGCGCATATGTCACGACTCGTGTGCCGGAAGGTATACATTGACGACAGCTCTTCAGCACATTATTTGCTTGGATTACGCGATACCCACTCTCTCTTGCATTGCGGATGGCATTCAGACACTACCGCCCCCGCCCAGGGATGTCACGGCCGAACCTATCAGTACATCACAAGTGAGCTATCATTCAATTAATTACTATATTTGACATTAATATATGCATTTAATTAGGACTTAAAATTTAGATGTTTTTTCAAATTGAAAACTAATTACCCTTTATTTGCTTTAATGTGATAGTAATTTGCAAAATTATTAATAAACGAATTTATATGAAATAATCTAGAAATAATTTTTAATTAAAATTTTGAATGTTGTATAATATATATAATATTTCACTTCAGATAAATGTGAAGTGGGAGAGGAGTACAGAAAAGATGCAGTCATTGATAGAGAGTTACGAACTGAATGTTACAGAATTGCATTCATTTGATCCAAACGATTGGACCCTTAAAAAGAAATCCGAAATTTCCAAACATTTGAAGCAAAGGGAAGGCATAAACCCTTACACAAAAACATTCAAAATCGATGGCAACAGAACTGAGTTTACAATAAATGAGTTGAAAGAGTCAACGATGTATGAGATGGCCATCAAGTCTATCAATAAATACGGCACAAGTATTGTAACCAACGATATAAGAGTTGTCACCCATTCTCAGGCTATCCATAGTATCGAAAAGGACACCAAAAAACCCATTTCTTCCCTCAAGTTCAACAAAACCTCTTCTTTGGCTCCAAATCTACGCAAATGTTGTGCAGATAATGGCATGAAATCCGAGTTTTGTTTAAACACTTTGTGTGATCTGACGAAACTGGAAGAGGCGAGTGTCGCAGACATCAGCTTTTGTGCCCAATTCTCAAACATCACTTTCAAATGCTTAGTACCTGATTATGACATTAGGTTTGTCTTGCTCATTCAATATATATTATAGTAACATATTTCTTGACGAAAAACTAATAAAATGATCTATGTAGCACATTTCCATTAATAATTACTGTATATACAAATTAAATCCAAATTTCATTTGATTTTCAGTGAATGTTGTTCACAACGAGGAGTTTCACAGTTTTGTTCGCACTTTTGTAGCGGAAAAGTATTGAAAACCGATTTCCGTTACTTTGTTTGTCTTCATTACATTCCCGCATATTCTTCGTGTGTATTGGAATCCAAAGGTCTTCTGCCGACTGAACCCCGATCTGTAGTCATATCGAGTAGACATCAGGACTGGGCTCTCGTCAAATGGTCGCCACCCATCAAACTATCCGAATCCGTCACCAAATATCACATCCATATCAGAGAATTAGATCCAGAGATCGATGAGGGATATGCTGTCGAGACGGCCACTCGCTCTCCGTATTTAATCGATGGACTTAAACCGGGTCTCAAATATGAAGTATTTATAACAGCAATCACATCCATATCAGAGAATTAGATCCAGAGATCGATGAGGGATATGCTGTCGAGACGGCCACTCGCTCTCCGTATTTAATCGATGGACTTAAACCGGGTCTCAAATATGAAGTATTTATAACAGCACTTAATAGACACGGAATGAGTCGGAGTTCCTCGAGAGTTACATTCAAGACAAAAGACCCGGAATCTAATACCGACATAGAGTTACAGCAATCAGATGCTAGTAATGGCTATAACGAGACGGCTTGTTGTCAGAGGGCTGTTATTCCGGACATATGTTTGCCGTTATGTAGTTATCACATGAATATTACGGACGGCTTACAATTGGGAGCCCTATGTGCCGACCAAAGGACTATTAGGACAATGATTAGGTGTCTGTCCGGTGGCAGAGATCACAGGCCTTGTTGCGAGAGGAGAGGTGTAGAAAACGACTGTTTGGATGTCTGTATGGGAGTAATCAAGGAATCGCCGTTCATTGTGGGCGCCAAGTGCTCCAAATATAGCGGCAAAATATTGCAGTGTATGGTCGAGGGCGCAGACACTCTGCCCGGTATTTTTTTTTGAAACGAAAGTTAAATATCGTAAAATAAATATTCAACTAATATTAAAAGTAATCCTTAAGGGCTTCTAAAAGTGAGTTAAGAGCAGTGTTTCTTAAGTTAAGTGAACGTCACCTTAAGTAGGAAAGATGACATCCGGTCGGGACAACAGCACATCACTTATCAGTTAAGGTATTCAGCCATTGATTCAGAGATACCTCCGCATCCATACGACGACGTCTACTCCATTCGCCTCAACATAAGTGACACAAAAACGGTTTTATCTGGTCTTAAGCCGAGCACCCGATACAGCATTTATGTGGTTTCAGTCAATCCATACGGATATTCAATGCCTTCGTTTTTGCTCTTAATTAACACGAAATCAGAGGACGAGAAAGAGACACAAGAAGTGATTCGTTCACAATTAGGTCCTCCGCATAGCATTCAGATTATACAACAGACAACGGACTCGCTGTCATTCAAATGGTTGCCCCCTTTCTATATACCCCCAGACATCACACTTATATACGAGGTCTATATTTCACTTATTTCCTATAATTAACACATATTTTTAATTCATAAAACTAACTAACGTTTAATTTTGCATAAAAAGGTTTATTATAAGAAAGTGTCAAATATATCGAGTGAACCGCAAAAAGAGTGGAATATAAGCGACACTTATGTCAATCTAATTGACATAACTGGCCTCACTTACAACACTCAATACGCACTGGCAGTCAAAGCCAAGACAGAGTGGCCAAACTTTGTCTGTTCACAAAATAGCCTTTGCCACAACCGGACCTGACTCCGCGGGTGAGGTGAGTGTGAGTCACGAGGGTTCAATCTCGGTTGAGGACACCAGCTCCCTCTCTACAATTGGATCCGGTGCGATGCCATTGGGAATCCGATTCCCACTATAAGTATGTTTATTAACGGAATATTGGCTAAAACGGAAGAAACGCGACATTTAGTCCACAAATTAGATTATATTCAGAGAAATCTGACGTCCATTTCATGTCAGGCAACAAATGCAGAAACAGTTAATAATCAGTCAGTATTTCCGGCACAAAGTCATGTCGAAGTGAGGGTCAGATGTAAGTCTTGTAATATATATCATAATTAAATTTGCAAAAGTTAAACAGATACTATACCGTATATTTGTTTATCATTTATCTATCAACATTTAGTCGCGCCTACAATAAAAATCGACAATAAGTTAAATATCGCTTCCAAATATGGCTCAATTCAATTGAAATGCGAATATTCTGGTAATCCTGAGCCAAAAGTGCAGTTCTTTAGAGACCTCAGGAATAAAGCTGAGCTCAAGAGTGGAGTGAATACACAAATCAATTTAATTCCTCACTCAACGGTATTTATTATTTGTTATTTGAATGGTTCTGTAGTATATAATAGTTATTACCAAATGATAACATATCTTTGGAAGCTGCACCCAGAGTTGCCACTGGTAGTTAGCACACTGCCTTAGTCTACGCCCAGTTATGCAAACATAGCGTGTCCATAATGGTAAAGGTAATAATTTGAATTTGGATTAAGTAAATGAGATTGACCGGTATATCTAAAATATTTTCTAAAATTTTCAAACAGAATGAATACGGCAGAGAAACTGCTGTTTTAAATCTCAAAGTAGAGGAACACAAAGCTAGTGATCGTAACACAAGTGGTCAGTACGACAGTAAAATCCATTTTCATAACTCAATCACTGTTTTCCCAATAGCCTGTTGTCAATCGGAAGGGGTGTCTGAAAACTGTTTGTCAATTTGCAATGTGGAAATCGATTTCAATGTGGTGTTCAATAAACCCCAATGTTTTAGTGAACTCAACAAATTCATGTTCTGTGCGGCCGGTAATGCCTTCATTCATATGAGTAATCGTAACCTTTGATAACGCTTTCATCATTTGTCGGAACAGATGGTAGCGATCATAGAGAGTGTTGTATTCGGAGGGATGTGTCGCGCGATTGTCTCCACTGGTGCGCCGGATATAAAGTAAGCCAACCGTCGCTGTGTTTGTTGTCATCGGTCCGGGATATCGTGAGTTGTTTCAAAGAAGGCAATTCACTGCTGCCATCGATGCCAACAAATATCCAATTGCGCGAACTGTTCACCGATAACCGGCTGATCATAAGTTGGGAGAAACCCGATAAAAACGGTGACGCCGTCCAGTGGTATAACGTTTACTGGAAAAGAGTGGGCTCTAAAGACCTGGACTCCGATCGAACCGATCATCTCTACTATGAGTTGCGAAACTTAGACCCAACCGAAACTTACGAGTTTCTGGTCAAGTCGTCTAACTATTATGGCACGAGTGCTTTGGCTGATCCACTGGTCATTAATATCCAAGAGATTCAGACACACAACGATTCATACCTGGTTAGTTACGAGTTCTATAAATACCGTTGAAAGTACTGTGACTATTAATACTAGTGCTAACGTTAGTAACCAATAATACAGAAGTCTTTATCACTAAACAACTTGTTTAAGGCCAGCTTACTGTACCGATTTGGCGTTTCGTTTGCAAACCAGGGATATGTCAACGATTCCCTCCAACTCCAGGACACTCTCAATAATAATCATGTGATTAGAGATTCTAATAATAATGAGAGACCTGTTGTTGAGATCAGAATGAATTAACTGTTTATATAATATATTACCGTAATTTAATGTATAATATTTGTGAATAAATGACACTTTATTTAATTTGTAACTTGATCTATTTTATTATTAGCTAATAATAATATATTTAATTTACAATTAATTTCCAAATAATTTGAATTTGGATTATGTAAATGAGATTCACCGGTATATCTAAAATATTTTCTAAAGTTTTGAAACAGAATCAATTTATTAGTCATAAAAATTGTCATCTAGAAAATAAGAAAATTTATTAATTGGTCAGATTATTAATTAGTGTAGTAACTAATTTATTACAGTGTTTGGTGTTATTTACCTATATTACATTTTCTAGAAAACTAGAATTGAATTATGCGAATGAATATTTTAAATTTAATGGAAAAAATCAATTCATTTATTTGTACGGTAAATAAAATTAAAATTTAAATAAATCAATAAAATAAAATTATAAACGATTCAGAGCCCCAGGGAAATACAGGAATTTATGAAAAATAAAATAATTTGCTTGTTAAGTGAACCTAATTTTATAGAAAGCATTTAAATGATTGGAAAATTAATTCAGACCTAAAATGATTGAAACATTTGCAACAAATTGATTGAAATGATTATAGAAATTAAATAAATACTGGAATTATCGGTGAATTCATTGCATTCCGTAGGTTTGCTTTATTTTGCTGAGCAGTGCATCGCATGTCTTCTTAGCGTCGCCTAAAAGCATAGAAGTGTTTGGATTGAAAAATATCGGGTTATCGACGGCCGCGTAGCCAACACCCAGACTCCTCTTCATTACAATCACCTAAACATTGTCATCAATCAATGCAATTGTGTTAATCATACAGTTAATCAAATTAGATGTTCAAAATTAATTACTTGTTTAGATTTCCACACTTTAAGGACAGGCATTCCAGCGATTATAGAGTTGGGGTCGTCTTCAGCGGCTGAGTTGACGGTATCGTTAGCGCCGATAACTAGCGTCAGATCCGTGTCATTAAAGTCGTCATTAATCTCATCCATTTCGAGGACCACATCATATGGCACTCCGGCCTCAGCTAACAGTACATTGAGCTGTCCGGGCATACGTCCGGCCACGGGATGAATACCGAACCTAACATTTTTGCCCTTTTCTTTCAGGATTTTCACCATTTCTGCCAAAGGATACTGTGCTTTGGCTACACATAGACCATAGCCGGGGGTTATGATTATGTTCTTGGCCTCAGCGATCGCTTCTACACTTTGGTCGACATTCCATTCGGTGTGCGTTCCGGTGATGGCTTTGGCCGGTCCGGTGGCTGTTGTGCCAAATCCTCCCAGTATTACATTAGGCAGCGAACGATTCATTGCCTAAAATGAACGCATTTTTCTATTTAAATCATTCATCAAATATGAAAACACATACCTTGCACATAATATACGACAGGATAGCACCGCTCGAACCAATGAGAGCGCCGACAATTGTCATCAGATTGTTATTCAACATAAACCCTTCGGCACAGAGAGCCCAACCCGAGTAACTGTTTAATACTGTGATGACGACCGGCATATCAGCGCCACCAATGGCTGCGGTCAGAGTGACTCCCATTATTGTGGACAAAGCAGCGGTCGCTCCCAAAGAGGACAGTCCTGCCATTTGACTCGGGTCCATTAAATAGTAAGCGCCGGCACCTACTGTTCCCAACATAAGGGCCGAATTCAATGCGTGTCGGCCCGGAAGCAGAAGCGGCGCTGAGCTTAAAACTCCTTGAAGTTTGCCATAACTATAGTCGTGAATAAGTTTTAGTTCTCAAGAAATGTCTTATTTATGAGTATATCTTACGCCACAAGAGAACCACTGAAAGTGACGCCTCCTATATATGTGCCCAAAAACAGAGCCGTTTTGACAGTCATGGCGGCCGGATCGGTGGCAAAGGTCGGAAAATCATGGATATAAGTGGCAAAGCAGGTCAACACAGCTGCCAAACCGACCAAAGAGTGAAAGGCGGCCACCAATTGCGGCAAATCTGTTATTTCAATCTTCTTGGCGATCGTTAAGCCAAGGGCTCCGCCACCAGTCATACAGGCGGCGATCTGAATGGCCAGTTCGGGCGTTATGTTCATCAGACCAAGAGTTGCAGCTAATCCTGAAGTGACGCCAATCATTCCCAAAGAGTTTCCTAATCGCGAAGACTTTTGACTCGACAAACCGGCCAAAGCGCCGACACAACAAAGTGACGCACCTTTTGATAAATATGGTTTAATTTTATGACATTTGAGATCAGATTATAATATTGATTATACTGTACCTAAATAAGCCATTTGGTGGACATGAGGTAAACTATTGAGTGCTGCCAATGCATAACCACCCGTAAAAACACCGGCAGGAATGGCATACAGATAGTTATATTCCGGGGGATCTGTAGGTCTTTTAAACATATCTAACATCCGTTTAGTGACCAGAAAACCGCCGGCAATATTGATGGTGGAAATGGTGAGAGCGGTTGCGCCCAAAGCTTGAGGTAAATTAGTTGGAACCACACCCCCACCCATCAGCAGAAGTCCTCCAACAGCTGTTATCCCGGATATGGCGTTCGTTACAGACATGAGCGGCGAATGAAGAGCTGGAGTCACACCCCAGACGGTATGGTAGCCCACAATACCGGATAACCCTAAAGTGGTGGTCATTGTAGTAAAGGCGGCGTTGGGCGCGACTGCTCCCAAACCGATGAGAGAGCCTAAACCGGTTGTGTATAGAATGGCATCTTTGAAAGTAGCCCTAAAATAGTCGGCCGGAAGTAGCGCTTTTGG